TGTTTAAACATGTCTCTGTGATCAGTGGGTGTCAGCAGCAGACAAGTTCATAATATTCTTATCATAGTTTCATTAGGGGTCATGGTGTGGCGCAGTAGAATATATAATATTAACCATTTTAAAGTGTACAATTCAGTGGTATTTAGTACATTCACAGTGGTGCATAATCACTACTTTTCTCTTTGTAGTTCCAAGACATTTTCATCACTGTAGTGGTTACGAATCGGGCTGTGAACCACAAGGTCAGCAGTTCGAAACTACCAGCTGTTCCCAGCAAGAAAGATGAGGCGTTCTGCTCCCGTAAAGATTTACAGCCTCGGAAACCCTGTACAGGGTCACACTATGAGTCGGAACCAACTCCACAGCACATAAGCACCATAACCAAAGGAGAACTCGGAGTCCTGGGGTGGCACTGTGGGCTAATTGTCAGACTGCAAAGTCTCTTGAACTGCAAGGTTGGTGGTTCAAGCTCACCAGATGCTCCTTGGAAACCCTATAAAGGGTCGCTATGGGTCGGAATCCACTCATTGGCACTTAACAATAACAAAGGAGAACTCAATACCCATTTGAAGTTACTCTCCATTTTTCCTTCCCACCCAACCCCTGGCAACCACCCCAATCGACTTTCTGTGTCTCTGGTGTTGCCTATTCAGGATATTTCAGAAAAACAGAACTGGATAATACGTGACCTATTGTGTCTGGCTCCTTTTGCTCAGCACAATATTTTTGAGGGTCACCCACATCACAGCATGTATTAGGACTTCATTCCTTTTTATGGGCAACAACAGTAGTCCATTGTCTGGATACATCGCATTTTATTTACGCATTCATCTGTTAATGGACAATCAGGTTGTTTCTACCTTTGGGTTATTGTTCATAGTGATGCTGTGATCATTTACGTACAAGTAATTGCTTGCATACCTGCTTTCATTTCTTTTGGGTAAATACCTATGAGTGGAATTGCTGTGGTGGATACTGACTCACAGTAACCCAATAGCACAGGGTAGAACTTCCCATAGGGTTTCCAAACCTATAATCTTTGTGGAAGCAGATTGTCACATGTGGAACGGCTGGTGGGTTCAAAGTGCCAGCTTTTTGGTTAGCAGCCAAGTACTTAGCCACAGTGCCATCAGGGTTCCTTGAGCGCATTCTGTGGATGCAATGCTGAAAGTGCTCACTTGTCTATGCCAAGAATTTGGGGAGGCATGACCAACTGCCTATTACAAGGAAAGATGATCTAATAGAATTTGGAAATGATCAGACAATATCATTACTATCACATGCAAGTAAAATTATGCAGAGGATAGTTACAAAACAGTTATAACAGCACATTGACAGGGAACTGACAAAAATTCAAGGCGGATTCAGAAGAGAATGTGGACGATCATGGACCACATTAGACAACACTTGACTGAAATCAGCGAATATCAGAAAGCTATTTATCTGTGTTTTATTCCATTCATTTGCAACTTGTGTATAGGCCAAGAAGCAGTTATTTGAAAAGAACAAGGGGATATTGATTATTTAATATCAGGAAAGATGTGTTCCAGGGTTGTATCTTTTCACCATACTTATTCAATCTGTCTGCTGAGCAAGTAATCAGAAAATCTGGACTATATATAGAAGAACATGTCATCAGGACTAGAGGAAGACTTATCCACAATATGTCCTATGGAGATGACACACCTTTGCTTGCTGGAAGTGAAGAGGACTTGAAGCACTTACTGATGAAGATCAAAGATAGCCTTAACATGATTACACCTTAACATAAAGAAAGTAAAAATCCTCACAACTGGACCGATAAACTACATATTGATAAACAACAAATATACTGAAGCTGTCAAGGATTTAATTTTACTTGGATCCACATTCAATACTCATTAAATGATCAGTCAAGGAATCAAATGATGTATTGCACTGGGTGAATCTGCTACAAACAAACGACCTCTTCAAAGCATTAAAGCACAAAGATATCATTTTGAGGTATACCTGACCCAGCCATGGTATATTCAATCACCTCATATACATGGGAAAGCTGGACAATGAATAAGGAAGATTGGAGAAAGATTGATGTATTTGAATTATGGTGTTGGTAACAAATATTTAATTACCGTGGGAGGCCAGAAGAAGGAACAAATCTATGTTGGAAAAAGTACAGTCGGGACACTCCTTGAAAACAAGGATGGAGGGACTTTGTTGCATGTACTTTGGACATGAGGAGGGACCTGGGGAAAGACACCATACTTGGTAAAGTAGAGGATCAGTGAAAACGAGGAAGACCCTTAAGAGATGGATTGACACAGTGGCTGGCAGTAGCGGGCTCGAACATAGCAACGGTTGTAAGGATGGTGCAGGAATGGGCAGTGTCTTGTTATGAGTCTAGATTCACTTGATGGCGCCAAACGACAAGAATACATAAAGATGGATACAGGCATATAGATGTATGGATGTTGTTGTCGCTGTTCAGTGCTGTCGAGTTGTTAATACCTACTCATGGGGACCCTGTATAGGGTTTCTGAGGAATGACTGGTAGGTTTGAATCACCGACCTTATGGTTAGCAGTCCAGAGCTTATCCTACAGTGTCACACCAGGACTCCAAATATCTGGATAGCTACAGGTATATATACATATTGTGAGCATTGATAGACATATCTGTGCTATAGTTAAGTGCTGGTGACTTGGTTCCAACTCATAACAACCCTGTATAGAGTTTCTGAGGCTTTTTAAAATCTTCACGGGAGCAGAAATCCTCATCTTCCTCCCGTGTGGCAGTTGACAGGCTCAAACCACAGATCTTGTGGTTCACAGTCCAGTGCTTATTGTATAGCGCCACCACGCTCCCAGAAGTATCTTTGTATGTGTAAATACAGATATATGTGTATTTACATAAATTCTTGCAGACTAATTACAGAAACTCCTCAGACTAAACACCTTTTGAGATTGATTTTCTAGGTTTGAAAATTTAGGACCATAGTCTCATGGGACAACTCAGACAATTGTCCTAATTGTTGTTGTTGTTAAGTGCCGTCGCGTTGGTTCTGACCCATATGACCCTGTATAGGGTTTCTGAGGAGTGGCTGGTGAGCCTGAACCACCAACCTTGAGGTTCAAATCGACTATGCAATCCAGCACCTTAACCCACAGTGCCACACCAGGACTTCTAATTGTCATAATAGAGTTCACAAAATTCATGTCCTGTATCCTGTATAGGAAGGAGCTCTGGAAGCGTAGTGGTTACAAATCGGGCTGCAAACCGCAAGGTCAGCAGTTCGAAACTACCAGGTGTTCCGGGGGAGAAAGATGAGGTGTTCTGCTCCCGTAAAGATTTACAGCCTCGGAAACCCTGTACAGGGTCGCTATGAGTCAGAACCGACTCCACGGCACATAACAACAACAACAACATCCTAGTGAAGTCAGTAACGTCTGGGGTCTTGAAAGCTTGCCAGCAGCCATCTAAGATACAGCTATTGGTCTCTACTCATCAGGAGCAAAAGAGTATGAAGGTGTCTAAAATCTCAGAGAAGTGGCAAATCTACAAGACTGACAACTTACAGGAGCCATGACCTCATCTACCCTGAGACCAAAAGAACTAGATGGAGGCCAGCTACCCCCACTGACCATTCTAACTAGGGTCACAGTCAGTGGTCCCAGATAGAAAGATGGCAAATGCAAAACAAAAAATTCAAATTATTTTTAAAAAGTTCATACAAACGGGACCAGTTGAGCCTAGAGAACTTTCTGAGTGAGATAAGAGTCCTGAGATATTCATAAACTTGAGCCTAAACTTGCCCCTGAGATCACCTTTTAGCAAAATAATAGAGTGGCAGACAAAAGAAAGGATATTACTCATCTGAATGATTCTTTATTAAAAAATCATCTGTATGAAATCAAATGTCAACATTCACTCTAAAGATGAGCTGACAAGGTGGCAGGATAGTTACGGTACTACAACCAGAACACAATGAAGAAGAATGTTGATAAATTGTGAAAAAAGTAATTAATAGCTCAAACAATTTCTCTGGAAACTGTCAAGTGAGAACCTAACTAGACATGCAAACTTTCACTGAATGCACAATTGCTGTTTTTAAGTGCTGTTCAGTTGTTTCCAACTCATAGCGACCCTCTATAGGGTTTCCGAGGAGCAGCTGGTTGGTTTGAACTGCTGACCTTCAGGTTCACAGTCCAATGCCACACCAGGAGTCTAAAAAGCACAATAAAAGACTACTAAAAAAATATGTATATACACACACACACGCATATATATTTCAGCCTAGAAAACCCTATAGGGGCAGTTCTACCCTGTCGCATGGGGTCACTATGAGTTCAAATCCACTCCACTCGCAATAAATATTAATGGAGTAGGAAGGGAAGGATAGACATTGTGAAGGCAAAATACAATCAGGACATTTCTTTTTAAAAATTATTCTGAAATAATCTCAATGTACAGAAAAGTAACAAGTACAATACAAATAACTCTTTCCCTCCCTGAAGCATTTGAGAATAAATACCGTTTGTTGTCCCAATCTTCCTGAATGATACAGTGTGTGTCCTTGAAACAAGAACATTCCTCTCTAAACACACCTCTGTGCCATTTGATTAGTGTTATGTGGGCAGGTACTTTGATGAGGTAATTTAACAACACACGCTCCTCACCACATTTTCTATTCATGTATTTACATTTACTCGGGCTCAGAAATTTTTTTCCTTTTTTTTTTTTTTACGTCGATGCTTAAATTGTTCCAGATTTTACCAGTGGAAGCTCTTCAAAGCAGGTTCCTGTATCTTTCGACTTGTTCTCATCATTCTTTGAGCTCTCCCTTCTTTTCTGACCCCAAAAGAATGTTCCAGGCTCATCTTGCATATTCTTTGCCCTCCTGGAATCAACCATTTTCTCTATGCACAAGGGTGGATACTTCTGCTGGTGCTGGAGGTGGGGGTGAAGGCGTGGAGGATAGCTGACCTTTCACCTCCCAGTGATCCTCTTGGACTCTGATTTCAGTGCGGCTGGACCCGGCCAATGGCAGAGGCGATGCTCCAGTGGTTACCATAGAAACCGCGGCCGCAGAACAGGAGGCGGTGACGTCACTGCGGGAGCAAGTGCAGTGGCCACATCTTACTCTTAGCCAGGGCCCAGGACACTGAGGGCAGCCTCCGGGCCAGCGGTGAGGGACAAGCTGCCTCTGCCTACAGGACCCCCAGCCACGACACCCTTGTGGCAGCAACGCCGAGAAATCAGCAGCCCCAATCTTAGACGTCCACAGCCAAGAGCGCAAAAGCAGCATCTTCAGACCCTCCCTGGTCGGGAGCCACGCGCCAGCGGCCAAACACCTCCACTTTGGCTTCACCTGTGAATGTAAGTCCTTGGGAATTCCCAAGAGCCCCCTCAGAAGGCTGGTACGTTAGGTAGCCCTAAGGACAGGGACTGAGTTGGACAAACGAAGCCTTTTTGCAGCCTTGGGTGAGGCCTCATTCTCTCGTCGTCTTGGGAACCAGATCGTGGCATCCTGGATCCATTTTGGGATTCCCGAGGCAGCTCCGGTGAGCAGCGGGCGTACTGCTGCCTCCGGGAGCTGGGCAAGATGCTGTTCGGCGTCAAGGACATTGCGTTGTTGGAACATGGGTGCAAAGCTCTGGAGGTGGATAGTTACAAGTCCCTGATGATCCTGGGCATCCCGGAAGACTGCAGCCACGAGGAATTCGAGGAAATCATACGGGTCCCCCTGAAACCTCTGGGCAAGTTTGAAGTGGCCGGGAAGGCCTTTCTGGAAGAAGATAAGACCAAGGCGGCCATCATCAAGCTGGCAGAGGACATTAATTACGCCGTGATCCCCAGGGAGATCAAGGGCAAGGGCGGGATATGGAGAGTGGTCTACATGCCCCGGAAGCAGGACGTTGAATTCCTCACCAAGCTGAACCTCTTCCTCCAAAGCGAGGGCAGGACCGTGGAGGACGTGGCTCGAGTCCTCAGACAGGAACTGTGCCTGGGTTCGGTGGGCCCCAGTGGGCTGCCTGCAAGAAACTTTTGTGTGCCCGGGCCGGGGGAGGAGCCTGGGGCTGAGGCTGCCGCTGGGGTGGATGGTTCACCTCCTCTGGACTCCACAGAGAAGGAGAGCAGAAGCAGTGATGGCAAGAAAGGCAAGAGGAAACACAAGAAACACCGTCGGCGGCACCATGCATCTGACAAGAAGCTTTGAGGTGACGTAGCGTGAACGTGGGGGCACGTGAGTGGGTTTGGGTGACGCCTGTGTGAGGGTGGGTACCATTTGAGCAAGTTTGGGGCATGCGAGTATGGGGTATCTGAGTGAGAATGAGTAATCCGGGAGTAAATGGGTAATTTCGGCCTTAAGTTTGGGAGTGAGGGTGTCCTTAACCAGTGCATGGGTGTGGCTATCATCTGGGTGAGTGTGGGTCATTCATTCGTTTATTTCACAGGTATTTATTTATCACACACATTGTTTCAGGCACTGTTATAGGAGTGGGGGATATGGAAGAGAACACACCCAACAAAAATTTCTGCCTTTATGGTATTCATAGGAAGTGGGTGATCTTTGAGCTACTTAAATGTATCTGAGAGATACTGGGGAGTAAATGTAGGGAACAGACGAGTCATGTCTTGCTGAGTGTGAATAATTCATGGATTCATTGAACAAATAGCACCTCTGAGCAACGTTTTTGCCATTGGGGGATACAAGGGAAATTAAATTGACCTTTGTGGGTAAGTCCACCTGAAGGGTCATCGTCCAGTACGCTGTCTAACAATACTCTGGTGCGGTTCATAATATTCAATATTCTGGTGCTGACAGGAGTCCACTGCTATTCATAAGGTTTTCAGTGGCTAAACCTTCAGAAGTCATCCACCACTCCTTCTTCCTAGTCTGTCTGAATCTGGAAGCTCAGCTGAAGCCTGTCCACCATGGGTGACATACCTGCAGGTATTTCAAATACTAGTGGTACAGCTTCATGGCAACACAAAAGCCACCACAGTATGACAAACTGACAGAGGAGTGGTAGAAATACTTGAGAAGGTGTGGGCAACATTTGAGTTAATTTGAATAACTACGAAGAGCACGTGGACCATTTCACTGTATGAGTAGCATGAGTATGAATGAGAATAATATATGAACTTCAGTTGGTAATATTTGAATGGTTGTGGGTAACCTTGGAAAGTGTGAGGTAACACCTGAATGTGTGTGGGGGTATTACCGGGGTGACTGCGTGTAATCTCTGAGTGAGTTCTTGTCGTTGAGTTGGTTCTGACTCTGACTTTACCAAGTGACCCCGCCAGGTGGAAACACTGTCCTGTCCTGCATCTTCCTCACAATTTTGGAACCCATTGTTGGAGCCCTTATATCAATCCATCTCATTGAAGGTCTCTTCCTGTTTTTCATTGACCCTCTGCTTTACCAAGTATGATATCCTTCTTCAGGAACTAGTCCCTCCTGATAACGTGCCCAAAGTACAGAAGATGAGTCTCACCATCCTCGCCTCAAAGGAGCATTCTGGCTGTACGTCTTCCAAGACAGATTTGTTCCTTCTTCTGGCAATCCTGGTATATTCAATATTCTTCATTAACACCATAACTCAAAGGCATCAATTCTCCATCGGGCTTCCTTATTCATTGTCCACATAGCTGAGTGAGGGAGGATCTACAAAACCTGCAAAGGGCGCCAGAGCAGAAAAGAGCGTCTGACTGTTGCCATGGAGACTTCGGGTTGTGCATAACAGGTGTTTGCAGAAAACGGAGGAGAAGCGAGGTCTGGGACTCCAAGGTTTTGCAGAAGATCGCTTACCAGAGTTGAGGAAAAACCAAGCAGACCCAATGAAAGACGGATTAGGTATATTATTGTTCAGGATAAAGGTCGCAACCCCCTGGTGGGCGTCACCCACAACGAAATTTGGCGACCAGCCCCCTCTTGTTGGGTTAAACCTGGTTATTGCAAAGTCTCGCGCTGTTTTCTGTCTTTCGAGGGAATAGATGGACGTTGATGACCCTCTGGCACAAATCTGGCTGAAGTGGGTGAACCTGGTTTGTAGTACCAAGCAGAAACAGGGCTGACTGAGGGCTGCCTACTGGCGAGTCCCCAGAACACACAACTCTGTGTACCCCTCAGAGCTGTTCACCACCTGCTGAGTCGGACTTGGAACCCTCTGCCCTGATTCCACTCTGACCTTGGGTTCCTAGGGAGACGATGAGAGGCCCTGACTCTCCCAACCCCCCAATTAAATCCAGTTCTGGTGGGAGGAGGGAAGGGAGAACGCTCTATCCGAAAGAGCCAAAGGCAAAACTTAGGGGACTAGTCCCAAAAGGAGTAAATTATTAAGAGTTCACCTTCAAGAGTTATTGATGTACAACATTAACTAACATGCATTCCTTGGTCCATAAGCTGAAGTTCTCAGTGGTAAGGGAGAAAAAGAAATCAAATAAAATTCAAATATTGGTAGGGGGTAGGGGTGGAGGTGAGGGTCTGACCTGTGAATTTACAAACTTGCATTCGTCCACGGATCTGAAAAGATCCAAGTTGAATTTAGTAACTCATATACATGAGCATACACACTGACAGATTCAGATTTCTTGCTTATCAAACTCTCACGGTGGAGACCCCTACCCCCATGCATTACTGTGGTGGGTGTCGTCACATTTGTGACATCCAGGTGTCCAACCTCCTTCTTTATTTCTGGGAGATTAACTCCACTTTGGAGTTCTGGTGTGGCTCTGTAGGTTCAGCACTGGACTGCTAGCTAGATGGGAAACCCTATACAGGGTTGCTATGAGCCAGAACTGACTTGATGGCACTTAACATCAAGTCCCACTTTAAGGTTCCTGGGTGGTACAAATGAATGGTTTGTCTCACTGGCCTGCAAACCACCAAGTCTGCACTTTGAATCAGCCAGCGGCTCCATGGGAGAGAAATGAGGCTTTCTGCTCCTATGAAGATTTAAAGCCTTGGAAACCTTATACATGGTCGCTATGAGTCAGACCGACTCGACGGCACTTAAAAACAATAACTAACATAAAGGTTCATGGTTGAAACACACCAGTGGTATGATGAAAGAAAAGTCTGTCTGCTACTGTAAAGATTAAACAAACAAACATACAAAACGAAATCACTGCTGTCAAATTGATTCTGACTTATAGTAACCCTATAGGACAGTAGAACTGCCCCATGGGATTGCCACAGTTGTAGCACAATGGTTATGAATCGGGCTGCAAACCGCAAGGTCAGCAGTTCGAAACTACCAGCTGCTCCGCAGGAGAAAGATGACGCTTTCTGCTCCCGTAAGGATTTACAGCCTCGGAAACCCTGTACAGGGTCGCTATGAGTCGGAACCGACTCCACGGCACATAACAACAACAACAACATTATTTAAGGAAGCCAACTGCTAAATCTTTCTCCTGGAGAGCTGCTGGTGAGTTTTAAGCCCAATGCTTAACCCACCATGTCACCAGGGCTCTTCTGTAAAGATGCCATCCAAGAAAACCCTATACAGTACTTCTACTCTGTATATGGGACTTTCATGTGTCAGAATCGTCATGAGTAAGAATTGACATGACAGCAATGTTTGTTTTATCCCCATTTTGTCCTCCACCCCCATCCCCAAAAAGGAGCCCGAATGGCACAGTGGTTAAGGGTTTGTCTGCTAACTAAAAGGTCAGCAGTTCAAACCTACCAGCTGCTCCTCAGGAGAAAGAGCTGTCTGTCTGTTAACATAAAGATTTACAGCTTTGGAAACCCCATGGAACAGTTATACTGTCCTATAGGGACCCCCATGAGTTGGAATCCATTTGATGGCAACCATTTTGGATTTTTTTTTTTTTGTAATTAAGAGTCAAAAGGTAGAGATTCTCCCTCTCCATCTCAACCCTGGCGACCAAAGTGCAGGTCAAGAACCCACCCGTAGGCAACCCACAAGCTCCTCTTGAGTCCTTGAGTTCCCAGCAAGTGTCAAGAAAACAAGGTATTTTTAGAATTCACTTGCGTTGACAGGTGAATTGCTGGTCATCTACCTAAAACCTCCAGGAAGACTTCTGTTTCTCACACGGCTTCGCTAACTTCAGTCTCCACAGCCTTTTTCTTTTGTGTAACAGAATAAAGCTTTCCCTGTTATTTTCACACATAAATATTTGAACGTATTGGAAGTTATTCGGGATCAAGACGTTTGTAGCTCTATATAGATCTTGTTATTCTTTGTAAATTCCCACTCGGGCACACCACTCACTGAGTATTGAATGACTACATTCATCATCTGCCCATAAAGAGTGAGTTTGAATAAATTCTACCCATGCTTGGAGCATAGTTATTTGTTGCATGCTCTATCCTGATTGAGGCATAATCACTGTATAGTAACAAGGAACAATGTGATATTTCTTATCGTACTTTTGCTGTATTAGGACTGTATTTGTACTAATTGTGGGTTTCCGGTATTGCCTATACAATGTCTATATTTGTGATCTACACGGTGTGCAGCTGTTCACCAATGCCCATGAATCCAAAATTTCCTACCATTCCTCTTTTGAGTTTTTCTGGCCCAGTTGAAGAGGTTCCTGGGATTGTAATACAAAGTATGACAGAAAGCTGTTCCCATTGGAAGTTACTTATCTATGTGCATCAAGACATCCTCTGGTTGAAATGTCAAATGTTTTGTTGTATTAAAAAAAGTCCCTTGCAAATTTCCGATTTCAAAAGTGGGTTCAGTTAAAACCCTTTCCTGTTGTTTGTGGCTGATACGATATCGATGTTGTATAAATGTAAACTTATCAAATAAATGTATACTTACAACATCATAGTCTGTTCTTTGATATGTTGGGACCCCAGTAAAGAGTTTGAAGAAAAGATCTGGCTGGTAAAAAAGTTTTGAAAACCACTTCCGTGGTTACCTGATGTGTTCCAAGGGCTGTGTTATTTTTTTTTAAGGGATATTGGAGTCCTTGGATGGCACAGATGGTTAACTGCTCAGCTACTAACTGAAGGATTGGAAGTTCAAACACACCTAAAAGCATCTTGGAAGAAATGCCTGGCAATCTGCTTCTGAAAGGTTGTTGTTGATAGCTGTCACTGAGTCAGTAACGACTCATGGCGACCCTGTACACGACAGAACCAAACTATGCCTGGTCCTGCCCAAACTCACAATCGTTGCTACGCCTGAGCCCACCGCTGCTGCCACTATGTCAATCCATCTCACTGGGGGTCTTCCT